CTTTACTCGTTGAAGCACACCTAGTGCTATGACCAGAAAATATTTCTGTATCAACCCTTGCTTGTCCCAACAAAGTTTTGATCCAGCGTCCAATAGTAGACGAGGTTACTGCCTTATAGGGCTTAATGTACGAAACAAGCAATTTTGAAGAATTCCTGAGCTTTTCAGTAGCCTGTAGGTAATAATCTAATGTTTCATAAACACACAGTTCCCTTACTGGATACTTGTAAAGGCGTACATTGCCAAACACTTTGCCAGGTTTGTCCTGCTTAATGTGTTCAGTTAAGGCAAAATTAAAACATGTATCATTCTTCTGCATATATTGCTCTGATGTGTCCAAAAAGGTCAAAGTCTGACACCTCTGCCCCGTAGTTAAGGCAATCAACATGACTAATTTCAGGGTGAGTTCCTTCAAATTGATCTCGTGCAGGGGCCAATATAAACTCAAGTAATCAAGGACAGTATCCACGGACCAGATATTGTTATACTTCGGCACAGGCTTGAGCTTGTTGAACACCCCTCTAAGGTAACGGCAAACAAGGAATGCTTCCCTATAGGTGTGTGAGATGAAGCATCATTATCACTCATACCAATGTTAGAGACTGCAGACCGAGCTGTATTCAACGCAGAATAGCTCAAGCCACTCTTGAAAAGACTGTGCAGAAAAGAGAGTACAGCTGTTACAGTGGGATGCAACGGATCAATCTTCCTTTCATTGCAAAATTGCAACCACTTGTTAATATACACTTTATATTGTTTCTGAGTGCTGTCTCTCCATGAATGCATGATGATGTCGACAATGTCTGACGAAATTGCAGACTCTTGCAAGGATCGCCTGATAACTTGCATACCATCAACTGCAGGCGTTGGTGTAGGGGATGAGGACCGTCCAGAGTTGGATGAATCAGGTTCTGAACTGAAGCATTGAATACACGTGGCGTTTCTGTTAGTAGGCTCAGTACAGCCGTAAAATAAGGCTGAGTTGTCCACAAGGGAATTACTAGAATTCCTGATGCCTGGTCGTGAATTATTTTCTGTACACACCTTGAAACAAGACAAAATGGAGGATAAGCATAGAAGAAAAATTGTGACCAATCAATGGTAAAAGCATCCACAAACTTTGCCATTGGATGTGGTTTCCAGGAAACATAATCCTTTACCTGAGCATTAAGTCTACTAGCAAATAGATCTATACCTGGTTTGCCAAATAAAGCTACTATCCTCTGAAAAATTGGAGCGGAAAGCATCCATTCCAGATCCAAATTCAAATTCCGAGATAACTGATCAGCATCAATATTGCTTGATCCTGGAATATGGGCTGCTGATAACCAAATATCTTTGTCAATAGTCCAATCCCAAATATCCTTAGCAATGGAGTTACATTCTAAAGATCTACAACCTCCCATAGAATTAATGTAAGACACAGCAGTGTTGTTATCAGACATAACCCGCACATGAATATTGTTCCTGGCATCAAGTAGCGAGGACAGAGCAAGCTTAACTGCCAATAATTCCAGGTAATTTATGTGCCTGGATGACTCTGACTTAGACCAGATGCCACTAGTGTTATTCCCATGTTCGATTTGAGCACCCCAACCCACTTGGGATGCATCAGTGTAAACAACTACATCAGGGCTATTATGAAAAATTCTTCTTGACGCTGTTAGAATATTTGCAGACCACCAGTGAATCTCTTCCAAACTGTCATGAGACAAGGTCATGAATGAATCAAAATACCCCTGGTTCAATTTCAAATTTGCTTCTTTGTCAACCTCAATGTGGCGATAATGTAAAGGGCCAAATTCCACGCCTGGAAAGCTGGAGACTAAGGTCCCAAGAAAAGATGCAACTTCACGAATAGTAAACCGTTTATTTGGAAGAGAACTTTTGGCACAACTGCAAAATTTTAACAGCTTTCTTGTTAGTCAAAGTAACTAACATGAGAATAGAGTTCAAAATAAACCCTAAAAACTCTAAGATCTGTGTTGGTATAATAACTGACTTTTCTGGATGGATTTTAAAACCCAGACTGACAAAAAGTTGTATAGCACGTAATGTGGCTTCTGCACACTCTGTATAACTATCTTCCAGATAGAAAGAGTCATCAATATAGCCCAGACAGGTGTGGCCAAACTGACTTCTCAAGTAGCTAAAGACTGGTTTTAAAACTTTCGTAAAAATCCTAGGGCTACTAGTCAATCCCATAGGGAGGCTAGTGAAAGCATACAACTGATCCCTCCAAATAAATTTTAAATATTTCTGATGTTCTTCTGCAATAGGGATAGAGTAATACGCATCCTTCAAATCTATAGATGTCATGTAACATCCAGGCCTCATGAGTCTAATAGCTGTCTCTAACGTGTCCATTTTAAAATGATGGTATGTCACGGACTCATTCAGTTTCTTTAGGTTAAATATAACCCTGTGAGACCCATCTTTCTTAGGCCTTGTAAAAATTGGAGATATCACCTGGCCATCCTCATGTGATGATAGCCTTATTATCCCTTTAAGAAGGAATTTTTCTACTTCATTGTCAATGATAGTCTGCTCAATTTCAGTGAAGGAACAAAAAGGCCTAGTAACACTAGTACATATTCCAGGTTCCCGGTCAAATTCAATATCACAGTGAGTAACTGCATCCAAGATAAAAGGATCTGATGTGATAGTCTTCCATACATGAAGACAGTCCCGCAGCCCTCCTGCCTTAAAAGGAATTTGATTTGCAATAATAGTAGTAGCAAGAGTTGTCTGACTTACCTCAGCTGGTGATCCTACTGGGTCTTGGTTGCCGAGGTCCTGGGATTCTGCTGGGGCCGAGCATGGCCCCGGCCTTGACCTAAAAAAGAATTAGAGGAGGCTCTTCCCCTGCCAGCACTATGACCAAAGCGGCCACGACCACGCACACCTCTAGAGGCGGGGACTTTGTAAGGTTCCATGCGTCTCTTAGGAGTCACTTTATTGCTGAGCTTTTGTGACTTGGTTAACTCTTCCACTTCTTTGTTTAGGTCATCTCCAAACAAGAATGTTGACACAGCTGTAGATGGGTTGCATAAAGGAGCATATTGCTTGTTTAGGTCAGGACGAATGAGATCTCTTCGTTTCAGATTAAGCTCTCTATTTGCTGACAACAGCAGGACTGCTGTATGGGTCAAAACATTCCTTTGATCCCCATTTGCACTGTTACACAGCTGAAGTACAGCATATAAACCTGACAACAGCAAAGACTGTGCCTTCTGGAAAGCTGAATCATTGTTTCTGGTCTCCTGTCGTAATTGTTGCCAAATTTGCTTGTTTATCTTGGGTGCAACCAAATTAGTGTAGTTTTCAGGTCTGAGGTACTTGTTCTGTACCTCGGCCAACTTTTCTTTTGTGAGCTTCTCTGTAAGCAGACTCTTCACTATTTCTGCCAAATTTGCATCTATGGCAGGTGAAGTTTTCTCTAGAACGCTAAATTCATCAGCGAGTGATTTAAAGGAACCGCCATCCGAGCCTTCAGCTTGGTCTGAGGTTTTTGGCTGGATAAAATCATTTATTTTAGTTGCAACAGTCGTTGCAACAGCTGTATCCGAACACTCAGTGCTCGCTTCACCGCTCTCAGGGCCGGTCTCATAATCTTCAAAATCGGCATAAACCTTCTCGATAGAGTCTTGCACGTGAGCCAAAATGTCTCTTTTGGCATCATCTAAAAGTTCAGCAAACATCGCCTTGAAGTCCACGGGCGAAGTACCTCCAGAATTTGCAATTTTCTGAGACTCCTCAGACATCGTCTGAAGAAAATAAGATGATTAAAGAAAACGTCAAGCTTTTTGCACTACAAAATGGCGGACTCGTCCGCCACGTGGTATCAAAACAATCGGTCCAAATAACCGGCTTTGTAGCTAGTCACAAACTCGTTGAGACTTGTAAAGATACGAGGAAAGGGTATAAACGCGTTACACCACAATTGCTTAAACTCTGGACACGTCCAGGAGTCTTCTCATAAAATTATAATTCGGCACAAGAGCCGAGACCGCCTGTGACGCGTCACAGAGCACGAAAAGGGAAAAAATCCAGACAATAACGGCTGGAAAATGTAATGTGGAGCGCGTCCACAGTAAAAGAAAAATAAACGAAAAAGTAACTGTTAACTTACCGTGATAAGCAGCTGCCAACGGCGTAGAAATATCGGAGAAAAAATACACACGACTAAACCCACGGCGAACGATACATGCACTGACCTGCGGCGGTGCGTGCGCATCTCATGGTAACCCGGATGTACGTAATGATTTGGTAGAATTAATTCAAACTCTTTTGTGCTCACAGACTATCCAATCAGAAGATGACGATAGTTTATCCACGGCTTCTAATTGAATAGTCTGTGCGCACAAAAGAATGTGAATTAATTTAAAGTGGTGACACTTTTAGGCTCCTTGCAGTATATCGTCACTCATTAATAAGCTTGTGTGTACAGCAATATATATTAAACGTGTAAGACTTATCAGATCATTTCCAAATTTTTTTATACAGTGTAATAGTAATTATTGCTGTTTATAAGGCCCCCGGCCTCCAACCATGGGATATAACCTACGTACCCCAGTTGCATAAGCCCACCCAGCATGCCAAAACCACTTATAAAGTTTATTTAATTTATTACCAGAATTTTATGACATAATTATGTACTAATATAATCTGCTTTTTGAATTAATTCAAGGTGACTTTAAAAAACTGGTCATGCAGTCCAACTTTCTGAAAAGTGACGATAAAGTCGAGCTGACGGGACCAAACACGGAGAAATATCTCTGTCAAATCCAGGTAAGTACAAGTAAAAACAAGCCAGGATGAACGCCAGGAATTAATAGCCATTTATTACTAACATTTTTGCGTATTTAATTTCTTTATAATTAGGTTGGTCAAAAATTTTACTGGCCCCAAAAACCAGTTGCTGAAACATGTGGCCAAATCAAAGCAAAGTAAGCCCAAGGAACCGGAGAAAACGGCAACACAAAGTAAGCCCAAGGAACCAGAGAAAACGGCAACACAAAGTAAGCCCAAGGAACCAGAGAAAAAGACAACACAAAGTAAGCCCAAGGAACCGGAGAAAACGGCAAAGCAAAGTAAGCCCAAGGAACCTGAAAAAAAGGCAGCACAAAGTAAGCCCAAGGAACCGGAGAAAACGGCAAAGCAAAGTAAGCCCAAGGAACCGGAGAAAATGGCAACACAAAGTAAGCCTAAGGAACTGGAGAAAACGGCAAAGCAAAGTAATAAGCCCAAGGAACCGGAGAAAACGGCAAAGCAAAGTAAGCCCAAGGAACCGGAGAAAATGGCAACACAAAGTAAGCCCAAGGAACTGGAGAAAACGGCAAAGCAAAGTAAGCCCAAGGAACCGGAGAAAAAGGCAACACAAAGTAAGCCCAAGGAACTGGAGAAAACGGCAATCAGCAAGGAAAGCCAAGACCTGCAGGTGACACCAACCGACAAACAAACAGAGCCAACAAACTATTGCAAATATAAGGGGTATGTGTATGTACCTGTTGGTGAGGCTGTCCATACCCCTGCGCCATTACCAGAAAAGAGGCGCCAAATGGCAAAAGTCAGTTTAGATTTTGATTACATATAATTTATAATATACATACCAGTTAACAATTATTCCCCGCAGTGGAGGTGGCTAGTGGTGGTGTTTTAGTATATACCAAACCAGTGAGATAGAATCCCCAAAATAATTGATTTGTTATCTCTCAGAATACTGCAAAAAAGTCTTTTGCAAATACATTTGTGCACTGGGAGGTGAATAGCACATGCTATCCCGAGTTTGAGTAGCCAATCAGCGCATAACACACTGTCCACTGGCTTGATATACTAATTAACGATATTATATTATCAGAAATAATATAATTTGTTTTATAGAAATTTATAATGATAATTAAATTGATTTATTAATTGAACATTTTAATTATTAAAATATTATTCTTTACAGGATCATATTTTGATCTTGAACTAAATTAAAAGTACTAGTGCTAGTGTCGCTTATAAGAATTTATTATTATCACTGCTGGCCAGTGGATTGATTATTTTTAAATAATTACTTATATTATATTTATGATTCATTATCATCATTACCTTATTTCAATTATGTCTTTATTAACTGTGATGGATGGGTTTCTATAATAATATAGATAGTTTGGTTTATACAAAATACAAAACATACATTTTATTCTAGATTTTATATATATAACTTTATATTTTAATAATTAAACATTGTAATTTGATTAGCCTGTCCTGGTGACCGTTAACTAAAAATAAATTGTTCTTTCTTCAGGGTTAAATTGCCTGTGTTCAATTTGCTTAATGAAATTGCTACATTTTGGTTTCATTAGAGGCTAGGATCGGACCTGGTGCCGGACTTGCAACAATGATTTGACATTGACGTATATATATGTGTATATATATGCCACTTGCATTTTAATTGGGACAAATCATCTTGAAATTAATTAAAGTTAATGAAAAATTGACGACCGAGCTATATATATACATGTAGTAGATCGCTATATAAAGTAATGATCATGTCAGATTTAATGTCAGATTTTTTTTTAGCTACATGAAGCTATAGGCTGCATATAGATCATGGGCATGCGCATGATCTGCATGCATATATATATATGATATGTCCGGCCAGGTACGTATACCGGATCTGAGATGATCAAGATAAAGTGAAAAAGAATGTGAAACTGAAATTTCACATGTTTACACGTCAATCAAAACAGGTTTCACATAGTTTTTCACATCATATCATTAAGCCTAGTCTTACAATGCATGATGTGAATTTTCTTATTTCACATAGTTTTTTCACAGGTTTCACATAGTTTTTCACATCATATCATTAAGCCTAGTCTATACAATGCATGATGTGAATTTCCTATTTCACATAGTTTTTTCACATCATCCATGATGTGAAAAGGACCATCCCATTTCACTTGGTTTTCACATGGTGATTTCACACTGTTTTTCACACATGCCCATGTGAAAAAGCAAGTGAAATTTTCACGTCTTTCACATGATCTTCACATGCTTTTCACATGGTTTACTCCAGTAGTGTTGGTATGCAACAATAAAGAGTTTGACCGGGCTAAAAATTGTCAGACATTAATTAGCTGTTACAAATTATTCTAACCCCAAGATTATTGCAACTGACACCTAGACCATTCCCTGGATCCTTAGTTACTGCGGTCATTAACCCATGGATTGAAATATATATGGCTATAGCTTTACAATAATTATATAATATTTCTTTGCAGGTACTCCACTGAAATGAAAGAGAAGTCTGTCATCATTGGCTTGCCTGTGGTACCTTTTAACCAGTCAAAACATTCAGATGTGTGCCAGTATCTTCAGTACATACAAAACCTTCTTGTTGACATCTACAAGCCAGAGGTACAGTTTGTTTTACTGATCTTTGTCTGCTGAAATCCTTTGAAAGTCATTTGTGTTTAATCTTATTTACCAGTGACTATATATATAATAAAGAAATTAAAACATTATAGAGATCTATACGTTTTATTAATCACGTAAAAAAAATTATAGAGTAATGTATTATTAACATACCCTTGCTTTTCAGTGATGTTAATGTAGCTGATTTTAAATAGATGACATGGGCATATAAGCCAGCCCATAAACCAGTGGGCCCAGGCCTACAAATTTTGATCACTCTACCACCTGTTATCAATTATTGTGTGTTGTTGAGGTGAGCTCAAGAGCCCAGTGACTGTGATGGTGAGATCAGTGTGTTCTAGTCATGAGAGCAATCAACAGTGAGCATTTTTTTAGGTTATGTGGAAATGAAGGTCAGCCAGGCCTACAACAAGTCAAAAAGCAGAGGCTAATTGCCCCTGGATGATTGCATAAAATATGCACTGTTTTTCTTTTTGCTTTTATAGCCATTGTTTAACACACAAAATGGAACATGGACTCCTGCAGTACTGAAATAATGGAAATGTTTATTTCTTTCTAGGCCCAGCATGGACCAATAAATGCAGATGAGATTTTAAGGAATGTTAAAGTGCCTCTTGTAGGGGACCTACTTGGAAGGGAACGCGTGACTGGTGCTAAGAAAACCAGACTAGGATGTGACAGTCCATCTGAGAGGTTTCAAAACATTGTTGAAGCACCAGCACTTTGGCACACAAAGCAGTCTTTCCTTGGTGTAAGTAAATTGAGGATATAACTTCAAAATTGATGTATATGCATTCCTTGTTTTGTATTGACACTTAATGGTATTTAAACATGTATTGAAATCTTTTAAAGTTCTCTAACACTAGACATTCATGTTAACTGCCTAAACATATAATTAAACATATTATTATATTAGATAACAAGATGAGATAATTTTCCTAATACATGCATGTACATTTATTACAAAATTACTTAATTTTATAAGTCTACTTAAAAGAACATGATCTGACCCCAGTTTCATGAAACTTTTTACTTTGTCCTGAAGTTACAATCATATAGTTATTAAATCTACTTTACTTGACAACAGTGACATATTAAATTTACCTTCATCATGAAGCATAAATAATATGATAACCTAAAACAACACGATTTTCTAGTTTTACATGTTGTAAGCCCTGATGACCTGTATATGTAAATATATATTTTACATAAAAAAAGTAAGCCACACAGCATACATGACAGGTGACTCCCTATAACTCAACCCCTCACTAACTTTAACCTCCCGCTAACTCGATGGCTTGAGGTGCTTGCTTGAATTGGAGTGTGCATGATAATTATTGCATATTTCCCTCCCTATCCATTTGCTAATTTTGTTTATTTTCAGCTATTTGGTTCAAACTCCTGATAACTCCATAACTTGAACATTCATTGATTTCCCTAGAAGGTTCGAGTTATTGGGAGTCAATTAACTGTCATTTATAGTTGATGTTATTTTTTTTTCTTTACTATTAATCAGTTTATTTGGGAGCAACTGTATCAGCCGACAGCTACAGGTGGACGAGAACAAGGGACCCTGTATCACTTAAGACAGCTATTCAAGTTGGTCAATGTACCACCCAGTGTAAAGAAGAACTACTCTGCTTGTGAAGCCTTAATGCTTTCAGCCACTAAGGCATACCTTTGCAGTGCCTTTATGACTTGGGCTCAAATTTCAAGCACAGATGACTCTCCTTCGTGGTTTGATGAAATTAAGAGCAAAGAAGATCCATCAGCAAAATGGGCAAGCCTTCAGGAACAACTTGGGAAATTTGTTGACGAATTTGTCATGATTGAGTTTGACATTGAAAAAACTTGGCGTGAACAACTAGAACAAAGAAGGCAGCAAAGGGAGAAGCAAATGATGGGTCATGAGAGTGCTGTTACCGGCCAAACGATTACAGCAGACCGTCATCAATCCCATAATGCAGCACAAGATGCAAAGACACCTGGTTTGTGATAATTTAACCTTAGGGCAATTCTTTTTTTGTCACATTTTTTCCCCTTTAAGCAGAAAAATGTAAATTTCACTTGCTTCATTAAAACACTGTACATGTATTACTGGAAATACAAAAGCTGGCACATTTATCAGGAAAGAATAGAAATACAAAAAAAAATCATAAAATAAAATATCTTACAATAATTTAAATTGTCATCAGAACATATTTTTCTTCTTTGAGTAACGAAAAAAAGAAATCAAATAATTTTTTTCAAAAGTTCAATGGTGCTAAATACGATTTCCTGAGTTCTATGTCTACTTTATAGTGAATTCAATCCATCTGTAAGGTGTTGCTTCACTGTATCAGCTGTGTTTTTGGACTGTGGTTGTGTCAAATATAGATATACTCTATGTATAACTAAGAACAATTTCCAATCATTCAGGTGGATAATACCAAGATAAAATTAAAACAATATATCTTTTATATTCATGGCTTCACTCGATTTGCATTTACTTATTATAGATTTATTATTATCTAGCTGCTTAAAGGCTGTACAACATACTTATAATAAGACAAGTATAAACTGTACAATAATCAGAAAATCGCCAATTAATAATATATAAGACCAAAAGAGGATTGAAAGGTGTGGTTCGAATTGTCTGTTTTCCCAGCCTTTGCCTTTTTTATCTGTTTCAATTAAAATGACTGTGATTTCATTTTTTGGCAGGAGCCATTGTTATATTGCTTCAGGGATCTCCCGCAAATTACAAAGTTCTAGGAGTTGGTAAGGTCGTTAGTTTGCAAGGAACTCAATTGCAAGTACCAAGTGATTGTGCACCAGTCCATGTTGTCTCAACTAAATCCTGTGCCACTGGCATTCTGGTGCCAGGTCAACTTGTACTATGGCCAATTGCCATGTTGGCCTTGTATACACCTCCCGGTACTGCACAGGACCAAAATGGCAGAAATATTGTTTCTGGTATTCCCTCAGATAGTCAAGATGACAGACTTTTTAATTACGGGCTACAGGTTCTTCAGCTTGGAGTTATGTTGATGCAATTAAATGACACAGAATGTGAAGGAGATGGTGGTCGCAGTTTGATCAACTGGAAAATGTTGCTACTATACTTTAGGTGCCGTCCAAGGGGTATGAAGTATGCCTATGAAGCAATGCGCTTCATCACATGCATCAAAGCATTGTACTCTGAGAAGACTGCTCATAGAATATTGCATGGGCAATTTGTTAATCCCAGGGGGGGTGAAGGAAAAAATTATGCCAATGATCTCAAAATGGAGCACTGTATCCAAGACAACAAACAGTCAATGAGGGCAATGCGAGGTAACAAAACTCTTAAGGCAGTGCAGAGGTCATCATCTTCCTCATATGGTCAGAAGGAGTTCTGTGTCCATTTTGATAGAGAGTGTGACATTCCACCCGATTCCACTCGCCACACCCATGCCTGCACTACAGAAGATGTAAGAGCGATGATAACCATTATTCAGCAGACAAAACCTTTCGTCTTTACAGCAGGAAGAAAGCTGCTTTCATTTCCACAAGTTTCAAAGAGCCCACTTGACAAACTGAATGTTTCGCTTCTTCACAGCTGGTTATCGAACCACAAATGTAAGCTTTTCAATGGGGAGTTTGAATTGAATGAAGAGTCAGCAGAAGAGGAAGGGGTAGAAGACAGTGGAGATGAACATGATGATAGTTCTGAAGAGGATGTCTGATCTCTATGAAATTGACTATCGTGAGTGTTACATGAAGTCATGTTTATCAAGCCTCGTTTTGAGTAGTAGCTTTCTGGACCTCGTGGTTCAAAAGAAACACGACAACTGATTGAGTTCATAAAAAAAAACTTTGTTGTTGTTCGGTGTCATTATTACTTGAATGTACTTGAGGACTAAGGATTGTTAAACCCAGTAAGATTTTCGGAACTATTTAACTTGTGTACTCGTGTTTTCCACACTAGTAGTATTATATAATACATGTACATGCATAGATTATAATATATTTTACCATTGAAAACTGCCTACTGGTCAGACTCTAGTCTTGCTTTTCACTTTTCATTGAGGTATATGGTTTATAAACCAGTGTCTTAAAAAGTTGACTGGCTTTGGGTACGTAATTAGCTAGTTGTGTCTTTGTATGGGAGTGAAACGTACACAACCATATCGCACCAGGTAAGAATAGACAAAGGGCATCCAAAGACATTTGATATCCGAATTTGTCAAATTTCTTGAGGGTTTCATTGATCAATTTTGAACAGTAGGGCTTGTCTTGTAAATACCTCAGTGCTGAAAAGCAACTCTATTGTTTGACTGTTAGCTATACAAGTTATTAGAACATATAAGGTTATAGATGATTACCATAACTACTGACAAAACTTAGTTCAACTTAATTTTGCAAAGATATTGACAATTATTACGCAGCAGGCTTGGACAAAAATCCGTAAAGACTAAACTTTTCTGAATGATGCTCATTTTGCTTGGTTTAACTCAAAACATTTTCTTATGAATGTTCAAATAGAAAAGGGATGTTTTCAAAAGAAAAGCACCTCTCTTGTTCCCCAATATATTGGAATACTTACAAGAGCCTAAGGTGCCAAATCAAATTATTATTGAACAGTTTTAAATTGAATCAGTATTACACTGAAACTGGTTTAAATTACATCTTCTGAAAAAGAGGTCACTTAATCTATTAGAAAAATGAATCAGGAAAACCTTTAAATGTATTTTTGGACAATTTCCCAGATGGCTATGGCATTTCTTCTGCTAAAAATTGGGAGTGTTGCCTCGATTTTTTCCACTGAAGTTAGTTGATGAATGTTTTTAACAATCTGGTCAACAAGATCCAAAGTTATGCCACTACTCAAGCTGGTTCCTCCAACAGAGGTTCTTCCAGTTCCAGGGAGGGAAAATCGATAAACGTGTAGTTCTTCCCTTAATTTTTCTTCAAGGGCAGGTGGTAAGGTCAAAGATGTTGATGCACTTGCCTCAGCAGAAGTTGTCTCATCATCCTGTATGCCTGCCTCTTCCAAAATTGATGGAATACTGGATATTACACAGTCATCACAATCACACATGTTTTGATGAAAGTCACAACACTCATGGAGTGAGCCACTTCTGCTGGGGGCTTTAAACCCAAAATAATTTAAAATCATTTCCCTTTTACACTTCTTCTCCTGGACATAATTTCGCATAACATCTGACAGCTGTTTTCTACCCTTTGAAATATCGTGACTGTTGAAAAAGATGTGCGCTTCTGCTGGTAGCCCATCTCACCCTGCCCTACCAGCTTCTTGAAAATACTCTTCCATGGAATAGGGCACACCAATGTGTAGTACATGTCTGATATTACTAATATCTAACCCTATGCCAAAGGCAACAGTAGCAAAAATAATTCTTAGTTTTGATTTACCCTGAATCAGTTCATCAACAATTCTCTTTCGTTCATGTTCAGGATACTGGGCATGATATTGAGTGAATAGCCTGTTTCTGGCAAGTTTTGGTGCATCTATTGGTTCATATTGTTCATTTCCAAGTTCACTACTAAAATAAGAAAAACAATTCGCAATGGTCTCCAGGTTTCCATAAATAATAGTGAGAGGGAAGTCTTGTCTTCTAGAACGGAGATCTTTAAGAAGAGGGTCCAAAATGTTTACTAATTTTTCATCCCCCTGGTTGCCTCTACGTGATGACGAAAAGTAAATGTTTTTACGATCAGGGTTTACATCAATAACAAAAGGACTAATCATCCCCATAGCTTCCACTATTTTCTGCTGCATTTGTTTTGTCGCAGTAGCAGTTAGACCAATAATTGGTGTCTTTGAAAATATACTTGTCAGCAAATCTAACTTGCCATAAGCTGGCCTGAAACTCTTCCTGTTGTTAAGAAAAGGCAAAATAATAATATAAGTGGACTTGTGAAAAAAAAATTCAAAATGTAATAGGTGCTACTATACAAAGTGGCTATTGGCAGGACTGTTAATTTCGAGTTTTAATGTATGAACCATTTTCTAATTGAATGCTAAGGGTAAATAACAACAGCATTCAAAGTATCAAAACCAGTCGGTGTGTTGCTTTCAATTATTCTTAAAATCAAGATCCTAAGTTTTGCCAAAAAACGGGCTGCTGGAGCCTGGATAGATGACACAGAGTCCTATTTTTTAGAATGCTTGTACACACCTGTTAAACTGAAAGTTAACAAGAACTGTCACCGTCACGTTGCCAGTGGTATCAATTCTTGTTATAATTTTTACCCATTGACGACTATCAAATTATCGCTCTCATGAACTGCTAGAGGGAGGTTTCTCTTAAGAATGATCCCGGTTAGTACTAAATGGACTATTAACAACGTGCATGATAGCATCAGCCAAATTGGAAAATACAAGCTTATTAGAACACAGTTTGAACGTATCAACATACCAATCAATGACAAGATGGGCTTCATCTACCACAATTGCTTTTATTTTTTCCTTAAATGAAGTCGTCTTCAGTAATTTGGATACTTTCCTATTGTCGACCAACACCTCGGGGTGAGTAAATATCAGATCGAAATGTGCACTTGTCAGCATCTCAACAGGCACTTCAAGCGAAATCTCTTCATCACCGCCGTCTTCTGTATCCACGCGATCTCCTCTGAGTACGCAAACACTCAATCCACTTTCTCTCATCTTAACAATTTGGTCGCGAATTAAGGCGTTTAGCGGAGAAATAACAATTACTGTCGCCTTTTTTTCCTCTGCACCAAAATCCACGAAATTAAGTACGGGTGGTAGCATCTGGTAAATCAACGATTTGCCATATCCAGTAGCTGCCAGTAGGCAGAACTGCCAAAACATCTCTATTGTTAAGAACTATATGTTTTAAAACCTCGTACTGTTTTTCCTTTAACTGTAGGTGGCCGAGACCTAAAAACTGTAAGCCAAAATTCAGCGCGCCGTGAAACAAATCTACCTTAGCTTGGTCAGCCATTGTTAAAATTGTTGCTTTGGGATTTCTCGTTTGAGGCTGCGCAGTCGAACCGGAAGTCCGCAATTTGCGGACTGCAAATTGGAACCAGCCAGAGCTCTCGATCCCTGCCGCTGACCAAAAGGATCGAAGCTCTGGGAACGAGAATGTTTTTAAACGCAAACTTTTATATTTGATTGTATTCCAGCACGTGCCGGCGGAGTCGGTTCGTAGTGCTGTTCCTAGAACAAATATTTGCCTACACCGTTCCATTAAGTTACACGACGCTGGCCGGAGGTTTTAGCTCGTAGTGTAGCCTCCCACGCAAACGTTCTTAGGGGTTCGTCATGCGTTCGAGGAACGCGTGACGAACCCCCAATAGCGTCAGTGTGGGAGGTTACTCGTAGTGCCGTTAAGTGTTAGGCCGTATTAAGTTTGTTTCTTTTGGACCTACCTGAACTTGTCCGATTTGGCACGCATAAATTATCGCCGGGGAGATAATGGAAGCCGGGGAGATAATGGAAGTCGTCCACAACGCCGATCGCGGAGCGGTGTTCCCGCCATTACGCCAGTGTTTTGTTGTCTTGTTTTATTACACTTTAATTTTTAAAGGCAGGCTTGCTCGCCAGCCCCTTTTTTCTTCTCGATTTCGGAATGACAAGCATTTTTACGTACTTTCCCCTTATTTCTCGCGCTACAGATACGTCTGGACGGAGGAAATCGACTCGAAAATGCTACGTGTGCACTTAATTCCCAGATCTCTCACGGCTGGGCTTAGGACTCTGGGTACCCGCCATGCACCGCTGCAGTCTTCGTCAAAGCGTCCATTTTGGATAGATGCTGAGCCGCCGTTTTGGCTTTTACGTCTATTTTAAACCTTCATAAAGGGCCCTTAGATTTCTTTTCGGCCTTTGGTATTAATTAGTGTAAATTTTGCGCAGTTAAAAGGATGACTTGTCGCGTTTATTTGGGAAGACTGCCTTACGGTACGAGGCAACGAGACGTCGAAAAGTTTTTCCGTAACTACGGAAGACTGCGAGAAATCAATTTAAAGGATGGCTATGGATTTGTGGTAAGAGTTTCCTATTATTTTTGTTCACGATTTTCAATGCATGTGAATTTCCTTGAATGTGAACCAAAAGAATAGATTTAACTTTAATTCATGGTGTAATTTTTAATGTGAAGCACATGGTTGCATGTAATTATAGTATTTGCTTGGGCAATGAATGGTAAATGGACGTATTCAGCTGACGTATTATAAACGTTGACAAGACGTTTAATGACCTTTAATATGGAAATTTTCAGGGCATAAGTTGTTGATGTTTTGGATTGTTGATACAAAAGTCGAGCCTTTTGTACTCGGCAGATTTGATGGAATTTAAACCCCATTTACACGTGCTAAAAAATCAGCACGGCACGCCAAATTTTTGGCACTGTGCCTCGTTTACCCGTGCCGAGACTACCTCTGTGAGGAAGTCTTGGCACGCCTAAAATTTTGAGCTCTGGTGCCAGATTACATTTGGGACCGATACATTTACACGTCAAAAATTGGGAGTGCCGTGCCTTAAAGTCGTTAGCATGGTGCCAAAAATGTGGCGTGCCGTACCAATTTTTTAGTGCGTGTAAATGAGGTTTTAAGCTCAATTTATGGTTGCGATTTGGTACATTTTTGCACGTAGGATTCACTTCTTTCCATGATGTAAACATGTCCCGGGTAAATAATAGAATTCTCTGTTTTCACTGTCACGTTTGCAGCAAAACACTACTCGATAGCTCAACTCTTCGGCAGTACTTATCAGCCATAGGGAGCTATATGTTGCATATTCCAAACTCTGCAGAGGGAAATTGTTTAAGAGAAAAAGAAAACCACACACTATGTCGGAAAAGCGAAATAAAATCAATAAATTTGCGAATTACCAAAATATAATAGTGAGAAACAGTCCCACCTTGGACTGCCATGTTTTTGTTCCTTCCCAAGACTGTTGATCTATGGTTTTTGACGTAATGTGCATGATCAGTACACAAATCCGCTGGCAAGACTTTTGCTGATCACTTGGCAAGTAATGCGAGAACATCATTTGGATTTTTCATTCAAGAGAATGTGTGGGAAGTAGCTTCCCCCCCGCCCCCGGTTGTGCATTTTTTCAGAAATTGTTGTATTATTGAGAGATGTAGAATCACAATTTGGCAAACATCAGTTTGTACAGCTTTTGTTACTTTTTGTGTTTCTGTGCTTCATAGAGCCAAACTAAACAAGTGCAATAATTGCACAAAATTGCAAATGTTACTGTGAATGTACTGCGACAAAAATTACATCTATGCAAAATCAGTACTTTCATGCAAGTTTTATCTTCTTATGTCCTAATTTGAATTGTCTATATGTCAATTAGTGGCTGGTTTTTCTTAAGTCACCACCAGAGTGCTTAGGTTTGAAAGTCATTTTGTGTTTCACTCTTGGAATGCTTGTGTAAATTCAAGTTTCTAATACTGTACATACATAATTACTTTCTTGTGTGTACCATTTTCAGGAGTTTGAAGATAGCAGAGATGCAGAAGATGCTGTTTATGAATGCAATGGGAAAGAAATGATGGGAGAAAGGTATGCATTAACGGGCCTGACAAAATTTAAAAATTATTCCAGAAAAATAATATGCTAAGCATACACTATGTTGACTTCTAGTCTTTGGTTTTCATCTCTCCAGTCATCACAGTTGATTGCAGGACATTGTCCAATGATCAACTGTTACTTGCAGCTTTGATTACTTGCAGCATTTTATCAATAATCTGCCTGTTCTATTACCTCATTGTCTGTCATGTTCGGGTATAGCTAACATTTGAGATTTGAACATTTGATTTTTTTGTGAAAAAGTCTTCAATAGTTTTGCTTTAACAATTGGCTTGTCCAAGTTTTAGACGCCAAACCATTATCTGTTTGTGTAAGAGTGATTAGCTGCGTTTATCTCCTTTAGGAAATCAGCACTAGTAGTAGCTGTTGTTGTTATTTAATTTAAAGTAATGTGTTCGTATTAGTAATAATCACTTGAATTAAGTAATCTCCATCCTTAACAAGAAGCAAGACCCCTAATCAGGTCAGTGTGACTTGTTTGATTTCAGGATCCTAGTTGAACATTCACGCGGAACAGCCAGAGGCTTCAGTGGTGGCCGCAAATCCAGGGCCAGAGATAAGTAAGTGCAGTAGATTCTAGCTTGGTTTTAAGTTTTAAGAATTTCTTTTCCCTTATTTTGAGTTCATTCTCAAATATTCTTCCACTTGGACAAGTAACAGAAGGAAATGAAAAACATGAAGCAGTACAAGGAAATTTCTTTGTGATAAGCAGTAATGTCTAAGTCTCATCACTTTCTTTTGTCTCGGTAGGTATGGACCTCCTGTAAGAACACCTTGGAGGATCAGAGTAGAAAATTTATCAACGCGTGTTAGTTGGCAGGTCAGTAAGATATTAAAGAAGTAATGCCATCTCTTGTTTCTTCAATGTTCTAGTTAGGCTGTAAATATGATTTTTACAGGGGGTTGAAAGCGAAAGATGGTTTGGTTCTAGTAATGATTTTGTGAATAAAACTAAAGAACTGGTCGTGTTGAAAATGTTGTATTTGCTGCTTCATCCACAGTGGTGGATCCAGGGGAGGGCTCCCCCCTTATTTTTTGATCAAAATGAGGCCCAAACGGCCGAAAAAAATGTTTTTGGAGAACCCCTCCCCCCCTCCCCCTTATCTGAAGGTCTGGATCTGCCACTGATCCATGGTGTTTTATTTAATTGTATAGTTGAAACAATATCATGTTAAATGATTCAAGAGCTTTGAATTCACACTTTGCATAATTATGTGATGATGTTTCCTGGTGCTTCTTACACATTTTTTCAGTTTCTAAAGCCGTACAGGTGTATGTGACTGTTTGCTGATGTTGTTGGGTTAATGGGAATGAAATTGGTATTATTGCTGTGTTTTATGAGGAAATACCTGCTTTCTGAACAAGAATCCTGTTAAAAATTTATGGAAAACAAGATAAAACTAAATATATGATGTTATATACTTGATGTAGGCAGGTCTGATAAAACTTTACCTTGCCTTGAAATATTTTCAGTTACAAGATGCGCTTGTGAGGGGTGATGTGAGGGTAGTCACAGATGCTTAGATGATTAGATGCGCTCCCCTCTGATGTTTGAGTGGTTTTGATGCTCAGATGCCATCCGATGTTGATACTAATCATCATGACGAGCCAAGTTTTAACAAAGGCATGACACAAAAACACTCCCGTGGCAAATGCTGACTGATGAACTGTGCGATTTGAAAATGACTCAGACGGTGGATTCCTGCGAAATTGTTGCTGTAGTATTTTAATTTGTGACACTAGTTTCTTGATATGCCCTGGCTTGTCAAACTTGTCTTCGGAGCCAGCTACAGTTCAAAGTTAAGATGAGAAAAGGGTTGAAAAATATATACCATTGAAAAGAAAATAAATAGGAAGGGAAGTTTCCATGTTTACACTATTTTGCATTATAAACGAGGGTTTTCTTGAGGGACAGTGACCCCTGTCTAGATAACTGAAAAGTCAAATGATTAAAGTTGAATTCAGGGTGATAAAATCTCTGCATAACTCATGACCAAGGTTGTTTTGTTAAGTACAACTGTCATTACTAGGATCTCAAAGACTATGTACGCCAAGCTGGAGAAGTGACATATGGAGATGCACACAAACAAAGACAAGGTGAAGGGTAAGTAAGTCTGTTGGAATACTTTTTTGCTGTCCTGTAGTGTGCAGTGAATTAGTAGGCTCATTGTTGAGAATCACTGCTTCCTAGTTAGTTCATTTGGCTGGATACAAGAATTTGAAGTAAGAGGCCTAAGCACTCCAAGCTCTGACCATTTCAGTCACTGTGGCAAGTAGACTAAAATTGCTGTTAAAGTAACAAATTTGGTGACCTGTGTTCAGTCATAAAATGCCAAACCATGGTGTTTTAGTTAGTTAAATTGTGTTTATGGTCCTTAAAGAGAGATCATGAAACATTTGTAGGAAAGAATATTGTATTCCCCCCTTCCCCTCTTCCCCTTCCTGTGCAAACCTGACACCACCCATCCTCAAAATTTTCTTCAACAACTGTTGAAGTATGTTTCCAACTAGTGACTTTCTTGTTTTTGTTTTGATTTGTTTTGTTCAGTGTCCTTGAGTTTGCCAGCAAGAGAGATATGAAAGATGCCCTAAGGAAACTTGATGGGACTGAGCTGAATGGAAAGCGCATTAAGCTTGTTGATGTAAGTCTGAAAAAAATTTTTATTATTTGAACAATAAAACTCCAGTGACTTCCTTCTGATAAGGATATTATTATTTTACTATTCATTCAGATTATTTCTAACCTCAAAATATGCTCATCACTATCTACCGTATTTCCTGGAATAGGTGCTCACGCTCTGATAAGCGCCCTTACCAAATAAGCACCCACCACTTTTTTTATAGGAGGGGTACAAGGAAAACTTGTTTCTATTGCCACTTTATTGAGAACTCGGTGTATCAACGGTATAATGAAACTAAGGTACTCTTGATTATCAACAGGAGAACTTAATAGACACCCCCCTCGATGAAGCGCCCTCCTTCCAATAAGGGCCCATCCTTATAGCCAAAATTTTAAATAAGCGCCCGGGAGCTTATTCGAGGAAATAGTGTATGTGAAGTTCCCATCTTCTTAACATTTGCCTACACACATTCTTCAAAGAGAAATTTTCATCTATCGAGTGGTATACTTTCTATTCTTACTATGTTTCGTAGACTGGTATGTTGTTTTTTTGTCATAAAGTGTGAAATCTTCCGCAATTTATTTTTCTCCAGCTCTGCACTGCCAAAACAGCTGAGCGATCGCGTCGCCTTCCATCCCTCTTGTTTGTCGATTATCAGTATAACTGACGTCGGCGGACTGTATCAACTGTATTGGCAAACATGTTCCAATTTTGGTCAAAGCTACAATCAGGGACAAAAGTAGTTGACGCACTTGTCGAAAAGGCGCGTTTCATGAACAGTTTCATTCATTTCCTATTTGATCCTGATTTAACGGCGTAAATCCCCCCCAACCCCCGAATCAGTGTTTGTTTGCAGGAAAAGAAAGGTTTGATGGTCTTAAATACAACATTAAGGGTTTTAGGGTACACAGAGGGAAGGAGCAATTTTGTCTCAACACTTTTGTCCCTCATCGTAACTGTTACTACGAAGAATTGGTTGAAGATTAAAGCCAATCGGAAACAGAGAAATATTTTGAATGAAAAGTAATATACTTAGTATGGTTTAAGTGTTAAAAATGATTGTTTTTGTTCTTTAGGAAAGTACACCTTCTCGTTCCTGTACTCTTTCTTTGACGTAGACTCTAATTGGATAGTATGATTTACGTAACTCAATTCTTTTGCAGGAAAGTCCACGTTCTCGTTCTCGTTCTCGATCAAGAAGCCGCTCCAGATCCAGAAGACGATCTCGATCCAGGTCTCGCTCAGCTTCACGATCTCGACGACGCCGCTCAAAATCACGATCACGTTCTAGATCACGATCCCGATCGCCACGACGCAAATCGCATTCCAAGTCGCGCTCAAGGTCCAGGTCACGATCCCGTTCACGATCTCCGCGCAAATCCAAGTCCCGATCACGTTCACGTTCACGCTCAGCATCTCGATCGCCCAGAAATGATAAAGAAGCATCTGCGGAACCTGGAGCTGATGATAATCAGAATCATAATTCAGCAGAAAGAGATCAGGCCCGTGAAGATGATGATGATGCCGACGCTAAGGCTTAGTAAAATGCCGTTTCTTTGCTTGTACTTTTAAAACGTGTTGGTTAGATTATTGATTCTGTACTGTCAGATGTGTTTTAATGGTCAAACATACAAGCTGCCAGCTCTTTTATTAAGCAATATGTAGGCGTGACTCTTGACCAAGTTATTTATTTGTAAGGCTGTAGGCAGCGAAAACCTTCTGATTGGATGTCATTTCATTTGAACGTGTTTATTGTTTTTAGTTTATTTGCTGGAACTGGAAATTGCTTTTATTAAACATCCATTTTACAGAATATAATCAGTTTCATCTTTGCTTTAAAATGTGACCGTTCTCGATTAGCCCGAGCCTTATTAGGCGTTTCTGTTGGGGAAGGGTAGGAGGGAAGCGAAAACCCGTTAGAAAGACCAGATACTCAGGTAATCTCAGATGGGCTAGATAGTAGACGATGCTCAGTCAGTGAGACGCTCTCCTTTTTGACAAGAAAATCGACGCTAACATTCATTCAGAAGGCGGGGTTGAATTTCCAGTAGGAGGTAATGAGATCTGTTAATGAGTTCTTGAGATATATCAGGCCTCTCTTCTGGCCTTCAGAAGGGACCCTTCACTACACAGCCTATTTACAGGCTAAATATTGCCCACTGCCTCGGCGTGAGGGATTTCGCAATCGGGAACTTAGGCGACAAGTCCGAGAACGTCTAAAAATGCAAACGCTTCTTTGTACATTTCTTTGCCGTCAATGCACGACCACGATGGGAAGTGCCTAATTTTACGGTCTTCGGAGGACAAACGACTTTCTTTTCTTTAGCCTGCGAGAGCTCACTTGTGCGATTTCTTTTAAACCTTCTGCCTCGTCTTTACTTAATAATGCGAACCTTCACTCTTTTTCGTTGAACGGCAGCACCGAAGCCATAAATTTTCCCCCAAGGCTACCATAGCATTGTTATGTCATTTGACCTCGAGGTTGCCAATGAGGACATGCGCTGTTGCGAGGTGGAGCATGGAAGGGAGTAATAGTATGTAAGGCTCTGTTCAAACGTCGAACTTTTCTTGTCCCTTCAATTAAGTACATGAAAGGATCAACGTTTGAATCAATTAAGTACAACATAATTATCTAACTTGGGTCGACCCATGAATTAACATGGGATTTCAAACGTGGAACTTGTCTTGTGCCGAACCTAATGCATGAATTACTATAATTTATTTCCACTGGTAGGCATTGTAGACCATTCTACATCGTGAACATGAATTGAGTCCCACTATTCTCACTGCACATAATTATATAATGAGCGCGTCTCGCAAACATTTCTGCATTCTTCTAATCCCAAGAGTTCTTGGCAGTTGGTGTCAAGTTGCGCGCGTGGCAGTGTGGAATCTCGCAGTTTGACGGGATTCCTCCCCCGCTGGTGGTGACCACATCACCAAGCCTTGCTGCATATCTTTGTCAAGGCAGTCGCGGATTCGTCCCATAACTTAGTTTGCCGCGATGGGACAATAGATTTAAGCAGTGAGGATAAGAGGAAATCGGTACCTAGCACACACGTTCGTTATTTCGGAGCAAGGAATTGGCAGGCACTGTAATCGTCAACTCAGTTGTTTTATTTGACACATCCAGTATTGTAACAAGGTATTACATGTAAACACCAGAAATATTTTAGAGCGGTAAAGCGCTGTTCTGTTATAATTTCATAATTGGGTAAATCTCAGTTAAGGTAATACCTCTGCTTTACATAAATAGTTATAAATATACAATTTCTTTCATAACGGATTTAAAATTATCTTTAATGCATCAAGTGTGTCCATTGGTTGGTCTCATGACAAATATTTCTCATGATGTGAAAACCTACAAGAGTAAGAAGTATGCCTTTCTCGCTTTTAGTAATTTATTGGTTCTTACGAATAATAATAAATCAAGAGAGGATAAAGGGGACAGAGAGGGCATCCTCCATACACACCTTATTCCACAGGTAATTCGTCTCGAGTTATTTTTAGAATCGGGATAAAGACCACAGATCCCAAGGGGAATCAGACAACAGCCAATCACATAGCGCGAATGTGTTCAGCGTGGATGACCCATGCTCAGAGCCATGCGTCCTTCACGAATTGACGCAGAACAAAATGGCGGAAGACGCGGAGAGCGATATTGCTATTCGTTTTGTCGACGATAACGACTTAAGAGAGATTTCTGCGAAAGCTGTGTCAACGAAACGGAAATTAAAAAAGAATCGCCCTTCGTCTCTTGTATAGAGCTAACAGTACAGCGGGGAAATCCTTAACACACTGAATATTCTCTCAGGATCATTTATAATTTACAGTTTGAAGACAGCAATTTCTGGTTTGATATTTATTCTTTTATTAGTCTTTTATTATTCAACAAAAATAACACTTGGCGTCCTACTTGCTTTATTGTACAAACGACCGGTTTCAATAGACCGGCGAAATTTCTCATTTTATAAAAGCACTGAGTTACGACAACTTCGAGTTAAACTGATTTCACGGGTTGTCAAAGAGTCTAGCGATGCCGTTTTCGCAAGTGAGCGCCGACTCATTTCGCTTCAATATTCTGAATATTCAGGAATGCTCTCGATCTCTTTACGCTTTCATTGCCTTTCGCCCGACATGTTTTGCACGGCGTTTAGTCATGCGAAACCTCCACGAAACATCCACGCAGCGCGCGAGGTAACTTCATCCCGATTCTAAAAATAACGCGAGACCAATTACCTGTGGAATACGGTGTGTAATGGGGATGCCCTCTTTGTCCCCTTTATCCTCTCTTGTAATAAATTGATTAAGTTGAGTTGGAAACGACAGCAACGTGAGGTTTAAAACCAAAGGGGGATTCATTTGTAAACATAAGCATATCACGGGTGCCGCATTTGCCAGCTGGAAAAACAATAAAAAATTCTAATTGGCAAATACGACAGCTATACGCGCATGTTGCAAATGAATCCACCCCAAGTCATGGAGTTCTGCCGTGTAGTAATAATTTTTTACACCATATAACGACTCAACTTCAAACGTTTAGCAACTTAAGTGAAACCTTTAAGATAAAATTATGATTCACTATTTTTTAAAAAGGAACCAATGATGTTTAACTCTGTACATGCCCGCCCCACAGCTTTTTAGCGCTGCTGAAATTTTTGTACTGTGAAGAGAAGGAAATGCCAAGAAACCCTTCTTCATGCGTGAATGCGTCAATTTATGAAATAAATAATTCAATGATTATTAAGATACTGATTAAGCAATAAATAAAAGATCAAAGATTTAGAGAGTGGATCAGAGTGGCGAGCTAATTATAATTTACCAACTGTAAAGAATCTTGTTAATATCGAAGGCTTCTGCGATCATGAGTCTTACAGGTGGCGTTCACCAATGTATTGGCTGATATCCCGGTCGACTGTCGTTCGACATTTCGGTCACTATATCGGTCGTGTGTGGGTCTATAAATTGTAAGACACATGATCCGGCTTTTGATCGTAATGCTTTATAATCTTCTGCAAGTGGCGAAAAGTCCCACTGGAAAACTGGGACGTGCAATGAATGTTCAGAAGATAAGCGCCAGTGTTTCCATTACTTGAGTCAGCAGTACGTGTCTCTCTCATAAATCAACGAAGATGAACTCACTGTACTACTTATGGTTCTTGATCTTGATGATTTGTGACTTCCATCCTAAAAAGTGATATAGTCGACATACCTTAACAGTAAAGTAAAGAAACGGCACAACACCGCTTAAAAGAAGCTTCTAATATTTAGACTTGAATGCCTGCGTGTAAGATGCCTCGCTATGAAAGGTGTTTTTAACAGATGCACGAGTTACAGTGGAACCTTTATTCAGGGGACAGCCTAGGGACCAAGGCAAGAGTCTCCCATGAATGTATATTGGGCCGGGATTTGTTAATAAGTAATCAACAAAAAAATGTATGTTTTATTATGCCTCATAATCCCCTGCAGTCATTATTTCATGCAGCTATACTGAAAATGTGCAATAAATCATAGTTAACTTATCTTTGCGATACTGTGTGTTTAATTCCCAGAAGTGCAGTACGTCGATTTATGTGAGATAAGTAGTGTACAATTAAATCAACCCTATTTCAGTGTGGTCAGTCAAGTTTGAGAGCTACGGTGTCCCCTGTTTTGGGACCCTTTCCCCTGAATAGAGGTGTCCCTTCAACAGAGGTAACAAATACAAAGATTATGTGAAAATTTTTCCGGGATTGAGTTTTGTATCAGTTGAATGAAGGTGTCCCAAAGGAGAGGTTCCGCTGTATTTCTTTCTCGGGGTGAGCCGAGACACCAGTGGCTGTTTCGGTCAGCAAGAGGGGGTCAGGACAGCCTATGAGCTATTCAGTTTTTTCACAGAATCTTGCGGTAAAATATTGCGGATGAGTGTTTCGAAGTAAACATGAATTTAAAAGCATTCCGATGGCAAGTCACAGACTTTTGAACTATACTAGAAAAGGACGACAGGTTAGCTTTGAGGAGCAGCAAGAAAATAGTTGCTTTCAGACACCAGTCATAAAAAGCCGTATTTAGTTCACTTCGGCAAATAACTGTCAACCTCAAGAAGCCCAAGGTACCCCTGGTTGATTATTTTTTGACGAGATGGTAGTGCCCAGTTTCACAATCCGAGCATAGCGAGAACATATAATTAGCTGAATTCTTTGATTTTTATTTTTAGAGAGAAGGGCTGGCATTAAGTCTATACTACGTATTGTGCACGTGATTGAGGCATGCGATACCATAGCAACGGAGTGCAAGTGCAAGTGCCTATTGTCACCGAGTCTCTTTGCTCTGCAAACTTACAGTGTTTAAGTACTGTTTCATCGCTTCTCTACCCGTTTTTTGGACATCCTGGGAACTGAAAAATGAAGAGTCGAAATCAAGAGAAAAACAGCTCTCAGACGAGCATAATCCAGGCCATATAATTGTTTTTCCACACTTCAGCTCTCATTGCGACACAAAATAGGCGGAAACCTCTCTAAGTCGGGTCAGTGTTCATGTCTCGAATCCACAGGGGGAATTAGTGTATATGAATTGAAGGGGGTTCCCAGCCAGGGGACGGAAAAATAAGATACCCTGAGGCAAAGGTAAGAGGTTTCCCTGTGGCTACGGCTATGACGCGACATGCTGTGGTCAGAATAACAATCTGTCTAATCACCTCTGATTGGTCCTGTAGTTTCCGTATCGTCTGTTCATTAATATAATTTTCTGCCTCCAGCTCTTTCACTCTCCTTCTACATTCATCCAGTTCTTTCTCCTGCAACGGAATGGACGCGGCATTATCAACATTGCAAGATGATGAGGCTGCCATTTCTTTAACCTCACTATTTAGTATTAAAAGCCGCAGCGATATCATGTAGGAGTCAAACGAAAATTAGAACAGTGGATCGCTACCACAACGGGCCGCTGAGGGAACAGTTTCCTCTTCTAATAATGCCAACAATGTTTTGAATCGAAACCCACCAACCATGAGCGAGGTTCGTGATACACTAATCACCAACAACCGCGGTGGTGCACATAGTGCTACTCAGTAAATCAACATTATCGCCATATGAAGACCTACAGTACGGGTCGCGGTCGAAACGATCTAAGTGATGATCGTGAGACAAACAACAAACAAAACCCTTTATACACATTACGCACGATGAACAATAAATTTCATGACAAAAATCGATATTCTCCCCGATCCCCTGCCTAAGTTAACTCTGGGTGCGTTTTCACTCATACCAAAAAGTCAAAGACTAAATAAGAAAGAAAGACCCCGATTTCATTACCAAAATTGTTTGACGCGCCAAGCCTGCGAACGCAGACGTACAGTTCCAGTTTTCGCTTCTCTCTGCCCAAAAAATGAGTCGACAAACAATTCGCCTGCTGTAACTTCATGTTTATAGCCAGTAAATTTAACCAATTTGCTTTAAAAATAAACCATATGACAGGACATAAAATATTGCAATTTTTTATATTCCAATTGAAATATTGCTGCCAGCATGACACGAGTATTGTTTTCACTTACCGCTATTCTTAAACAATCTCTGAGATGAGAGATTCTCTCGTCTTTTTGTTTTGATTCTTCTTCCATATTTTTGAGCATCGTGTTGTTGTTTTTTACTTCTTTTGCCTAAAATGAGATAGAAAACATACAAAGGAATTTACGCTTTTTATTTCAAAAAGTGACCAACGGCTATTACGTTATTGTGAGGCAAAGCAGAGGAAATAACTTAAAAGTACTCACTTTAATATGCGTTATTTTGAAAGCTTGAGACCAAGATGGTTGGATCTGGCATGGTTCTTTTTTTATGTTTTTGCCTTTTTTGGACCGAGACGAAGTCGAGGTCATTAAAAGCTCAAAAAACCGAGCAAGGCAAATATCTAGTTATTTGGACTGGCAAGCTTGGACAATAAAGGATTCATAGATGAATACATGGCCAAGAGAATTTTTTCTCGCGGGACAAAATCGGGCGGTCAGAATAGCACCATCTTATCCGGTTGCGAAGTCAGTCATAGAATTTAATTTTACGGTCAATTACTGAAAGCGATGGATACAGGGGGCTTTTTATACTTCGCCCTGTGACTCGTCTGTGAGAGAGTGACTCGGCTCGTTCTGAATCGTTACTTTTGACCCCTCCAGTTGCACTGTAAAAAAGGATCAGGAGGGACCTAATTTGAAGCTAATAAAGGCCCCCTATTCAACACTAAGAAAGCCCCTTTAAGCATTTAAAACTGTCATACCGAGCTAGATACTTACTAATTTCTCGTCAAAAACCTTCTTAAGAAAGGTTAGGGCCTCTGTACATGTATTTCTAAACATCTTCGCTATAAGCTCGTCGCTGTTGCTGCTAACCTCAGAATCGCTTTTGGAAGCAGTTTGCGCTGACTGTATTACTGTGTCGTTAGACACCCGTCTTCCTCCACGTAACTTCTGGGGGATAGGCTCCAGGAACACCGAACGTCCTGACCGCTGGGAAATTGGCTCTAGCGTCAGCGATTTTCGTTTACAATGTCCATTTGGAAGAAAGTTGATCATTGAATCTGAGTTACGTTTCTTGTTGTGTGTCAAACTTTGTAATGAATCTCTTTTCAGTATGCTAGGACTGCTCGCGGCATCAATGATATCTGGGCTGTAGTTTTCTCTCTCTTTGTCATTGTCTTCCATGTCCACGAGACGAGGATCTTGTGAACTATTTTGTCGTTCCAGGCGTTTTTTACCATAGTCGGCAAGGACTGCCTAGAATGAGACATGATTTAATAGTCGCTAATAGTGATAATTTTTACTTATAAAGGAGTTCTTGATATTGGGTAGAAACAAATCCCAGCCCAGATGAGGTTGGGGTAAACTGCAGTCACGGTCCAGGGGCTTTTTACAACTGGAGAAAACGTTTCCTTTACAGCTGCAAGAAAGACGTACGGCATTAAACTTTAAGAGCACAAGACCGTTTTTATGGTCTCTTGCGCACATGACTTGAACATGTGTTCTAGCTGTTTTTTGTCTCAAATCGCTATATTTAAATTCGAAAGCAGGGAAGAATAGAAGAACTGAAAAAGGGTCATAAACCCGAAACGTTTGCGTTTTTTGACCGAGTATCACCTTATCAGCTATTGAAGAGTACATAAGCCCATCAATGACGTGATCCGCGCACAATCAATAAGCGTTTTTGGAGGGGGTGGGGTTATGCTTATACGCAAGCCGACTGATAGCAAGTAGTATAGGGGACACCGAATTTTCCCTCGATAACAAGCATCAAGAGATGAACATATGCTTCTCTTGTTTTTTTTTTCAATCAACGAATCGAAAACTAATTAAGACATTCATCGACCTAGAAATAACTTGGGAACCTGCCAAACCCGTTAAACCTCCTAAAATAGAACATTACGTTATCTTATTGAGATTCCCCCGCACTTTCCCGCAAGTTAATGAGACTCCTGCCCAAAAAGGTTAATTCGAAGTGCCCTATACTTCTATATTACCTTCAAACGAATTTGGTTGACATCATGTAACTCTGCCGGGAAGCAATTCATATGTAAAAGTGGTAGAAGAAACTAATTTTAGTTTTTTTGCTTCTAATTCGGCATAATCTCCATGATACTGATCGGATAAACTAAAACAACACTGGAACTCAGACGTCTGTCGATATTTCTTTGGGCGAGGTTTGTGATACACCAGTCACTAACAACCATGGTGGTATAAATGGTTCCTTTCAGTAAATCGACACTATCGCCTGATGAAACTTACAGTACGCGGTCGAAACGTCGCGATCAATATCTATGTGACAATCGTGACACAAATGATTAACGAAACCCTTTATATTTTAATCTCTTGTTACCTGAGCCTCAGGGTAGTCTCTGATAGCAGACAAGACATCCTCTTTTGAAAGAACAAAGCACTCCACGTATCCTATTGTCCTCACATCAGCTGTTCGTCTAAAAATAACGCAGAATGTTCTTAAACCCACAAATTTAAACGAAGACTGGAGTCAAAATAGGTTTCCCATTCGGTTCCTTGGTAGCCGGCGAGACACGCTTTTTCTACTAGGATCTACTAGGTATCTGCAGATGTACCTGTGTCACGTTGTTTTCAAAAGCTGAATGTGTTTTCAAGAAAAAGATTGGCTTTTCCAGCGGAAACAGACTTCCCCCTGGCATGTTTACGCATCCGCATAAGAGAACAAAAACTTATTTTCCATGCTCGCAAGCTATCAGAAACACCAGAAATAAAATTTCAGGTTTGTTACATTTTTTTTGTCGACTAGTCCGTGGTATCCTAATGGTTTTGACATCACTAAAGAAATTGTATTGGGCGGTAATATGGACAGAAGCATTCTTTTTCAGGAATGCCTTGAACGATGGAAAGAGGGTCTTACACCGTCTCACTTTAATAAGTGAAAATCTACGTTTCCTCACTGGGAAATCAGTTTCTGTTGTAAGCTAGGTTAAAAGTTCTTTCTTTTATTTATAACCCTTTAAGTCCCAATATTTATCAACATCAATTTTCTCCTAACAATATCCATATGTTGCCAAGAGAAATTGTTATGAGAATTAATAAAATGATCACTAAAGAGAAAATGCTTTGATCTGTTATCAAATTCTGTCAACTAATTCTTTAAGGAAATGTATGAAGATCAGTTTGGAGAATTTGTATGTGGATATCGGGGCTTTAAGGGTTAATCTCACCTGTTTTGACCTTCACTCAAACTGAGTATTCCAATCTCCCCAAAGAAATCTCCTCCAGATAACACTTTAAGTACCTGACCTTGATCCCTGTAATGAAATGCTTGTCATAAACAATTGAAATCAAGAATAATCTATAAATTTAAAAGAAAATGAATCACCTTCGATCCCTTATCTATTTTCAATGAAGCTAAAAATAATCGAATGAAGTCGTCCTACCCTATAACCTCGATCTTTCCATCTATTATGACATACATCTCTCGTGCAACCTCGCCCTTTCTGCAAACGAGGTCACCTGGAGTGAAAATTCGTAATTTCATTTTCAGAACGAGATCGTGTAAAAATTCAGGTTGGCATTTCTGCAGGAAGGTCACCTGGTGAGAAAAACAAAAAGACAAAAATCAAATTGCTCAAGGACTCAAACCCACACTGAATTAACGATTAATTCCCTAGTGTTAAGCAGAGTAGAATAAATAACTTTCTGAGAATTGTTATTCTAGCTCGCGTTTTAATTGCTAAGTATTGTCCTCTAAAAAGGACCTCTAAAAAGGTCACAATTTTGAATACTCATGCGCGAAAGGTTTTTTAGGTTGGTACGTGAAATTCCCCAACTACCAAACCCTAACCCCAAATTTTTCCCAGTGAGACGTTAGTGTGAACGTTGGGTTAGGTGTTCTGATTCCATGGAAATTATGTACTCGATCAAGGATCATTCTCCTTTTAATCAACCCTTCAGAGTATAGTTTAGCATGTGAAAAAACTAATATTCAAAGGAAAGAAAAGTCTGCCTAATGACCCGACGAAAAACAAAGTGAAAATGCACTTTTTTTAAAACCATTCTTGACAAGATGAATTTCATACCCTGAGTAACTAAACATCATACACCTACTTTTTACCTTTCTCAGTGTCTCAAGATTCACATGTAAAGCGATTTCAGTTTTCAGTTTATTTGGAAGCAAAGTAAGAGAGTTCAAGTCCCCTCCGCCAGTACTCATCCGACCTCTGAAAAGAAAGTCAAATCAAAACTAGACCTGTGGATCATGGCAATTTTTTTAATATTCGCATCCTATCGAACACTTCGGACACAATTCGGGTCACAAAAACTAACATAAAGCTTGCAGGAATTAATACAATTATTATTAAGTCATTACAAACGGACACGGAGTATTACTCGCCGTCAAACCGCAGTTTCATTCCATTGTTCATTCATGTGATCAAACATGAGTAGAAGTCTAAGGGGTTTACTTATCCATTACGACATGTACATTCAATGGCTAAATAACCTGCATCACATCAGAAAACAAGACTTGCCCACTATTATCACTTGCAACATTATCTGCTGTATTTCTTGTTTAATGTTTGCACAATTCATTGCCCTGAGGGTATTAGATTGCTACAAATACTATGTACTTTCAAGACAAATTTATAGTAAGCCTTTTTATTAAAATTTTTTGTTCGATCAGAGTCCATGAAAAACGTTAATACTCCCATTTGCGACGACTTTCTCAACTAATCGAATTTGTTAGGTGATCTTAGACACGTCACTTGACTTCAGTGTTTTATCACGTGACATTTTTCTTGAAATTATAGTTATCATTACATTTAGAGTAAGTCGAGTAACTGATGTGATCCAAGTTGCAGGCTATGTAATTCTCTTGGCTACATCGACTGGCCAGGGATGAAAACTCTCCAAAGCGAAATCCTTTACAAGACACTTTAGGGCAAAAGAGGTGGGGAGGGGGGGGGGGGGGGAGGGGATTTAGATAGGCTTGGTTGTCGCCTGATCATGAAATGAAATGTCACGTGTTAGTTGTTACCTTGCCCAGGAATAGTCATACCACATAACCACCCGCCTCTGTAAATCCTTTGGAACATGATGTTTTTTCATGTACTGTTTGGTGTTTTCCTGCCGAAGACGAAAAAGAAACAAAATCATCACCAGCAAGTTTAAGCGCTGTGTTATCGAAATCAGGCTTTATTAAAAGTCCAAAATTCATCAATATTCATTAGAATTAATTCATTTGGCTTTATTTGTCCACTAACATTGCATCATCATTTTAAGCAAAATTTCAAATTCTTAAAAGCTTCTGCACCTATAAACAACACATTTTCACAAACTGTGCAGGGTCAATAAAAGCAGCGAAAATGCATATGAGAACCTAAACCGGCTTGAGTCGCGCTTGTTCAATGTTTGTAAGAAAGGGTTAGCCCCGGCCTTCTGAAAAAGGACGACGGTGCTTTTAAAGATTTGAAACCTCATCATCATCATCATCAAACCGCAATTTCTGACCAAAATTAAAAATGCCAAAGTAAATAAAAAATGCCTTGAGAAGATGAGAAAAACAACAACGACAACAAAATGCAAATAGCAGCAAGAGGAGAAGTGGAAACAAACCCTTTGTTTTTCGAAATCCATCCTGACTGCATTTCTGTTGACGATGATACTTCCTGCGTTTCCTAAAATACGGCAGGAAAAAAATAATTGTTTTTCTGGTCCATGAGTAAGCTGATCGCAATGACTGGGGAAAATGCATGTTTCACTTGAATTTCGCATATCTAAAACCCTATATTTTCGTACCTCACTCTCAGGTCAATTAAACAAGGAATTATAAAAGACAAAACATTTCCCATATGATACTTACCAACAATGGTAGCAAACATAAACACACCAGTCAAATAACAAGCAATGGTGTAAACGTATCTGGGAAATAAGAAAGGAAATTATAATAATTACTTGCATTTTGAGGTTTATACTGAACCGTATGTGCAGCAGGGTCTTGTTTCAGTGGCACAAATCTAGTTATACACACCATGACCAACTCCTAAAGACTCCCTTAGCCCTTTAAGTACCAGTATTAGGGAAAACCTGAGTGTCCTTTTAAAACACCTGGAGCAGAGTACTAACTGTACTTAAAAACTTAGAGCTTAGACCAGGTAACCACAATTGGCGACAAAATTAGTTAAGACTCTTAGCCTTAAAGGGCCTTAGTGACCTTTTTCCGACTTCGAAGAAGGGAAAATAAAGCTTTCCCCTCCCCAGTCCCCTGAAAGGAATGTTTTGCCACTGTTCGAGCTACCTGTAAGAAACAACAAAAACCTCAACTTTGAATGGAGGGTAAAGAGAAGGGCTGGAGATCGCTTTTTTCTTCGAGTGTGAGGATAGTGTCCCAAACATTTTGTCGCCAATTGTAGGTACCTGTCAAAGACTAATGGCAGACTGCTTGAAGGGATTTTAAAATGTGTCGAAGGACGCTAGCTCCTGCTTTATTTTTTCTGCTGAGAATATTAACTTTGGCCTTGTCTCCTGGCCTCGTCTAACTTGCCGTTTGCTTCTGGCACTAGGGGTAGGACCAGGCCTCAAAGTAGATATATTGTAGACGATAAAGATACACTAAAAGCCCTTTATTCCAGCGTTTTGCTTACAGCAAGATAGACAGTTTTTGATCAGACAGTTTTTGCTGTAAAACATTTCTTTACGCTTAGCTTGCAATTGAGCAAATCAAACAGAAACGATTTAAAAGACTTAAAGTCCGTGCTTTATTTTATTTTTTTTAATTAATTTTTTATTTATTTACAAAAAAATAATAATTACAAATACGTGTTCTTTTAACTATTCAAAACCATTTTCTTCTTTCACAGCGGGCTGAAAATAATATATATAGAAAAAAAAAAAAATTTTAAAGTAAAGAAACTAAATTAAAAGGAAAAAGACGCAAACCTAATGAGTGAAACAGTACAGCAGTAAAGTGTAGCTTAAAGAAATAAGTATTAAGGTCCGTACTTTATACAAACCGTGACAAACACCTGCTTCGCTAATGGGTACATTTACAACTCATTCAAAATTTGCTCCGTTCAAAATTTGAATAAAATACAAGTTAAAAGAAAATGATTGACGTGGCTCTTCGAAAATCTGACAAGGGCTGAAATTAATATTAAGCAAACGTCAAAGAGGTTCTTAGAGGTTGGAGTACGGGGAAGTGAAAATCGCCCAAATTGAAGCATTCTACTCACGAGAAAACCTTTTTAACACAAGCAGGATAGCTTGAATGCGAAAGACTTCTAAGCCGAAAAATAAAATGGCTTCTCACTACTAAGGCTGAAAATACGGCTTTTATTTTTATTGCATCGAAAAATATCTGACATTTAATTTAACCGTAAACAATAAACTGAGGAAACCAATTATGCATTTGATTTTCGATTTTGCCTCCTTGATAGTACTTTCGCTGTTACTGTTTTTCAAATTCACAAACGCCACCATTTTAAGCTTTTAGTCTCGTGCTTTAGAAAAGACTCGATCACCTTGCCGTATGTATTCGACAGCTGATTCGAGAATTTCAGGGGTTTGTAATAATAAACGAGGCAAATTTCATACTTTCGAAAGCTTTTTATGTATAAACTAAGCGTTTACGGGTCCTGACAGCTAAAAGCTATTCATCGGAGAAAGCCTTTTCAAGTAAAAACTCGTTAAATGTTATTGGCATAAAACGTATAATGACGCAGCAAGAATTCATTTCCATCGGTTTAAATTTTACGGAAGCGCTTTTAGTCCCTTAGGCAAAAACAAGTCAAATTAAGGACACGGGTAAAACTCGCTTAATAAAGTTCATTTCCGACTCACTTGATCGAAAATTAAAAGCTAAAAAAAGGATAGATCGCAATTCGAATTTTTTTTCTTTCCTTTTTCTTTTCTTTTTACAATCAGTAGTTTTAAATACAATAATATTCAGTGGTAGAGCTAATAGCTTTTGAAATATTCAAGTTCAATTAAAAAGAAAAACATATCAAATTTTTTTTTATTTTTCGCAGTCGACTTTATATCATTTACTCTGATTTTTTTATTATTCGAGTTACTAGCAGAGCACAGTACATGTAAAATGTAAAAAATCCTCGTCGGTTTTTCTATTTTTATCGCAGATTCTCTGCGCTGATGTGCTAATCGAGAATACTAAAATTATGCAAAGTACTATTAACAATCTTAAGCTCTTCTGACAGAAAAAAAATAAATATATATATATATATTATGATCTGACTGAATACAATATATTTAACTTTTCCAACAAAGCGCGTTTTCAAACCAATGCTCAATTGGGCGCTTATTTTTAAGAAAACGAAGGAGTTTTATCCTTTTGTAGATTCTCATTTTCACCTTGTTCACCTACTAGGTTCAACAAATAAACAAATCCGCTATTGAAACCTGCTACTTCATAACAGGCTATAAAACCCATCAGGCTGCATAAATTACAAGACAAAATATAAACAGACTTACTCTAGATTTGTAGCTGGCTTAGGTAGGTCCCCTATAGCTGTAAGGGTCAGTGTTGACCAGTAAAATGATTGTAGATATTGCTGATATAGTGACCCGTTGCCTTCATAGACCCAAGCATTGGAGCCAAATCCCTCAAATCGTGATACCATGATGTAGAATCCAGCGTTCCAGTGTATCAAAAGAAACATTAAATGCATGAGAAAAAAGACACGTAAAAAAGTCGGATAGTTAGCAAGTGACTCCATTACGGATTTAATCCGAAAGCTCTTATATGCTTTGATAATTCGGTTGATTCTTAGGTGGGGAAGCGGTCCGAAGGCCGCATATAAAATATCTGTAGGAAGTAACGATGCGACATCAGCGAAAAATTCAGCAGAGCGAATATACCGCATACATACTAGTTTTGGATCTGTTACAAGAATTCCTTCCTCCAGATAGCCTGTTCTAGCAGAAATAGCGATATCTAAGGCGTAAATTGCATCGCAGAAGTAATCCAGTAGAAACCACGCTATCTTGAGCCAGCCAGTCTGGGCTTCAGGGAAAGCTATCCTCACTATCAAAGCCCACAAATTATAGCGAATAGCAAAAACAAGAACGTAAAACCAAACACAAATGTGTATACCATCGGGATCAAAAACAATTCTCTTGTCTTTCCAGAGCCCAGCATGGTCATATTCATAAATCGAGCCGCTTGTTAATTCGCTATCAAGTTCCTTGTCAATTTCAATTGTCGTAGAACCAGCATCGTTGTTATCGTCCGTTTTTGGTAGCACATTATCTGTAGAAGAACTTTTACTGGCTTTGGATTTCTTGCGATCCGGCGGACTTACTTTTCTATTATCCCTCGTGCTAAATTTCTGAAGAAAGGGGTCCACAGTGCTTGGCGACTTCCACGTTGAGCGCCGTCGAGAACGAGACGGTTTGACGGCGTTTTTCACCGTCACGGCGTTGCGAATTTGCTTGGACACAGCTCTCCACCTTCCCAATGATTCCACGCTTTCGGACTTTGAATTTCCTTCTTTGAATTTAATCTTTGGTTTAGCTTCTTTTTTAGTGCTATTACAACTATGCAACGCATGTTGGGATTTTCGGGGAACTTTAGACGCAATGTTCTCCTCATTTTCCGAGTCCTCCTTGTTTTCAAACCGCACTGCCCTTTCCATTTTTCGTCAGTTGAATTGTTCGTTAACCGTAACATCACATCCTGCTTTTGTGTGGGTCAGTTATAAACACCGAGCTATCATAAACAAAATTTACGTCAACTCAAACACTCTCTATACCACACAATAAAGCGCTTGACAGATCACATTAGGCTTGTAAATCAATTAAGATTTCGAAAGTGTAGATTACTGAGGTATCGCGGTCGGAATTGCTGTTTTAATGCAAACAAACTGACCCCCCCGACAACTGGATTAGATTTTCATTCAAGTTTACGTGAACTCATTGTGGACCATTGTTTGACTCTTTTTCAATTCACAACAGCGCACACAAAACCCTGCAAAATAAGTGTGAAATGAAATGGTTAATAACTATCTTAGTTCTGTTGACATTTACGCCTTAAATCGCCAATCAAAAGAAATACGTCCTAACTAATATTAGGTTTCATTGAGCCCACACTTGATTTGAGTTGAGATTGTCAGGTAAAATGAACCAGTATTTTTGAGGCCCTAACTCAAACTATAACCAAGCGATTTTGGTAAGTAAGTTAAAAAACATCCTGAAAAGCTGAAATAAATTAAAGGATAAACACTAATTCTACCAAGTGTTAGCCTTCTCACCTAGTAATGCTTTTCGGTCTCACTATACACCAAATCGCTTCAAAACTCACGAGGTTGCTATGACTACACACTAAGAACTGAACGCACCTGTTAAATACATATCAGATCAGTTTTTTCCTTTCCATGAAAAAGTTTTTATTAACTCAAGTCAAACGGCTGACGACTATGCATGAGACAGGACTAAACTGCAAGTAAGACTGGAATTGCAAGCATCCACCAACCTTTCTATAACTTGTACCATGACTGCATGCGAAAAGGTCACGTCCTTATAACTGAGTATAGCTTGAAAATCTACTTCTGTACCGTGAGCAGTGTGAAAGAAAAACAGCTAACAAACACATACGAAGAAAACAAAATCCATTCAATTGTAACACTTTTTCAGGGCTTTTTCAGGAATTTCATGTGTTTTTCCCTTTTTCCGCTCAGACAGAGGTTCTGGTGGCTTAATTTGAGATGATGGTCTAGATCAAGCTCTCTAGCTTTATTTACACGTGTTTATTCGAAGTTCGCCGCAGCTGACAGTTTTGTAGCATTACTAGGACAGACTGGGTAACTCCTACCCTAAACCTTTCAGTACTGTCTTCACTTTTTGGTCATTCTCTGCGCAGCCTAATTTGAACAAATTCTAAGCTGGAGAACAGTATACATCTCAAACCTTCAGAGGAAAAGGTGCAATGATAAAAACGAAGTAACTTCATCCAATCTTGACTTTACAAGCTTTTTTGAGCCAAACATTAAGTTGTTCGCATTCAGTACACATTGGTTCTAAGGCCCGGATCAGACGCCGCTCTACTCATGTACAGAACCTAACTGATGAATTAAGTGATGCAAAAGAGTGGTGTCTGAATCAATTTGGTACGGCAGTTTTAGTTTGGTGCGCCAAAAGCGTTAAGTTCGACAGAGACTGTCGAACGTTTGTCGATCTTAACTTAGGCTCGACACACGGTACGCCGTCTTGAATCAAATGTCACGCCCGCAGTGTCGCTCCAAAGTCAAACTTAATGTTCAATTAGGTTCGGCACATGCGGAAAAGTACGGCGTCTGAACCAGGCCTAGTCGTTTCATTATGGTTATAAACTAAAATTATTATAATCTTGAAATTAATATATCTGAAACTGAGTTTTTCTAGCTCGGTTTTGTCAAATTCATCAACGTGGTTTATCGAGCCCGCTGTAGCTAACAGTTTTCTTCGTAAACAGGAAGTCTAAATGGAGTCAGATACAAATTTACTCTATTGACTTTTTCCGCCATTTTCTCAGCCATCAGCTTCGAATCAGCTTAATTTTTGAAGCGGTACTTATCAGCCTCGAAGCGTTCCATTGATGGCTGTCATATTTGCGCTGCGACTTGTAGAACGCCGCATTTCGCTTAGCGGAAGTTAAAAATTTGGCCTGTTCCAAGTTTTAGTTTATTCTACTCATACCTAACCCAGCGCAAACTTCCAAGCAACGACCACTGTCATTGATTCCGACTAATCTCAGTTAATTTTGCACACCTTAAAATTCCACATCAATTACAGTTTTTTTTTAAAAGACGTTTTGCATACTAATTCCGCCAATATTTCAAACGTAATGACACAATGCAAACATATTGCAATTTGTGGTGAATATATCAGAAAAGAATGATTTGAAGAATGTATTTTACGCCTAAACATTAAAACTGATGAGAACATCGATCCTGATTACTTAACCTCTAAACTTAATCCAAACAGAGTCAGTTTCATCACGCCATGTTGAGAGAAAGTACGCGAAAAAATTCTAGAATTTGTACTTTGCTACCAATGCATATTGTATTATTTTTATATATACTCGGTAAACTACATGTCGGTTTTTCTCGAATTTTTTTAATATATTTATCATCTAAAAGTAATGAAAAGCGGTTCAAAATAATAAAAGTAATTTAGGTCTGACGCAAAAACCGCCGGCACTTACAGTTGGTCTTTGTTTCAAGTAAGCTCCAAAATAAAGAATTTCTATTAATTTAAATAGAAATACAGCAGAAAAGGGAACTGAACAATTAAGGCAAAACTAAATATTATCAACTGATACGTGTCATATATTGCTCGAATCATCGGAGAAACATTGACGCGTTTGTCATCAAAAATAAAAAGCTCAATACGAATGACTTTTGAAAGTTGTCAAAAGAGATTCTTTTTCCGCATAGAAATGCCGCCTTCCAATTACGAATGTAGCAGTTTTTCGAATATATCAAAGTTGTGCCAAACAAAGAAAACTAAACGGCCGTTTGTACATGTACACAGTCACATCGGTGATCATACTTACAAAATCTGCAGCCTCACCTGAAGTATTTTTGTTCTCAACAAAGGTAAAATTAATTGGAATCACCCTTAACACGAGTTAACTAAAGTGACTCCACACTGTTTAGTATTTTTTAACGTCAAAGCGAGAATGAGACCCGTCCTTAGACACTGAAGATGTGTGCACAGAAAGCCGTATTTTAAAATGATATTTATATTGCAAATCGTGTTATGACTCGAGCCGCACTATTTACAAGAATATCAAGATATTTTAATAATAATTATATAAGCACACATCGTTTAGAATTTTCTGTGTAAACCACGAAACCTCAAGGTTCTCTTTTTTTTTTCGGACACTTAAAATGAGAAGAACGATCAATATAATTCTCTAACAATTAATAAACACTGCGGGGCGACTTGGTGTAAAAATCTGCTAGTCTAACAGATGGTTTTTTGAACGTGCGTCCCGTCACTAAAAAATATCAAATAGCCATAATCTACACCAATAAACGAAAAAGCAAATCCCCAAACAATCTTTTATGACGTGGCTGTTCCCATCAGAAACTTACGTCTGGACTGAAATTTCATCGATCAGTGTTTTGGCACTGAGATACTGAATACGTTATAAGAGAGAATTTCCCTCACTTTTAAATTTGCCATTTGTAATGGGGAGCCATCTTTTAATTAGCCTGGCACTTGAAAGCGTTTTGTTTATTTTTCTTTTAATAACCACGGCAAAGTGATCAAAAACACTTTCTTCTTTTGTTAAATGCATACTATGGTGATAATGAATATTAGACGAAAGACGGGAAATGACTGTTGATTCTGATGATAAGTTAACGGCCATTGCACGGCTACAGCGCGTGTTTCCGTGATTTTAATAGCAAGACCATTCAGGGTACAGGGTCCGAAAACAAAAAGAAAGAAAAAGACAGAACGGGAAAATGGTACACTCATCAAACGATTCGGCGTGGGCTGTTAACTTTTTTCAATCTTGTTTCCCTTTTGTCGACGAGAATTCCAGGCCAATCTGTACACGTACACTAATTTGTCCCCTGCAAAATTAGCCTCCCACGCAGACGTTCTTAGGGGTTCGTCACGCGTTCCTGCCCAACGAACGTTTGCTGAATCGAAAGATAAATTCCTTTCCCATGGTTCGCAAATATCAGCTGGAGATCACATGCAGATTATCGGAGATCCAATCGGCACTTAACACATTCGCACAAGCTCTGTAGAGAGAGATACGTGACCAAAGATTTTTGCTGCGGACGCGAATCTAGGAGATAAGCATTGGGTTTTTGTATATTTCTCTCTGTAAAGGTTGGATTAGATGTCGTTTGCTCGTAAAGTTGTTCTTTGGGTGATGCAACGGCGGGGTGCCCTTGTAAGACTGAACAAAAGGCAGAATTATTCTTCACACGTTATTGTTTTGTAGTAAAGCCGACTTCCGTTCAGCAAATTTAACCTCCGAGGTCAGCTCCGAGGTAATTTCTTTCAATGAGATTGTAAGGGTAACCACTAGTACGAACGCTTGTGAGTTAGCTGTGCAGTTTGTCCCAAAACTGTAAGGTCTTCACCATTCATGAGACCTTTCTGATCTCTTCTGGAGCTATAAAGTCAAGCACGAAATTTCTCAAGGTCCAAAGTGCACTTCCCAGATCTGGAAGTCTGCTGTGATTGGTCTACGTTTTTTTTCCGCTCAAGTCAGCAGACGTTCGTGGGGCAGGAACGCGTGACGAACCCTTAGGAACGTCTGCGTGGGAGGCTACTGCAAAATTCTTTGTTTGACACTGTGGTGCACAATAGATCTTTTTCACATGACGTCACGGCGGCCATATTTGTGTACAAAACAATGAATCGGCGGCCATGTTTGTGTACAAAAAAAATCCTGTGGGAATTGAACTCTTTTCACATGTTAAAACTTTCTTTTGTTCCATGCAATTTGCAAAGCTGCTAACCATGTGACTGAAAACGATCTATTCCAGCTTTATAAAAGTTTAACACGAAAGCTTTATCACGGTTTTGTTAAAAAAAAGAACCATAAATAAAAATTATAAACAACGCCAATAAACGAACTATTTTGAAAGGAAGAAGACTCTTCGCCTTAACCTTAAAGCAATAAATTGCT